TTTTTCCAAAAATTTTTCTTGCATCAACATCCTTCCATCCTTCGTTGCCAGACAACGGACCTTTCAATCACTGTTGCCCTCCGACTACGGTCCTTCCGACCTCCGTGGCCCACTGCCTACGGTCTTTCTAACCTCAGTTGCCAAACAACGGTCCTTCCGACCTCCATCTCCCACCACCGACTATGGTCTTTCCGACCTTCGTCGTCAGACAACGGTCGTCCGACCTCCGTCGCCCGCCGACTACTATCCTTTCAACCTCCTTCGTCTTCCGACTACAATCCTTCTGACCTCTATCGCCAGGCAACGGTCCTTCCAACCTCTGTCGCTAGACAATGATCTTTCTAACCTCCGTCGCCAGATAATGATCTTTCTAACCTTCGTTGCCCGCCGACTATGGTCCTTCCTTCCGACTTCTGTCACCCGCTGACTACGGTCCTTCAGACCTCCGCTGCCCACCGATTATGATTCTTTCGACCTCCGTCGGAGGTCGCCCGTCGGAGGTCGCTCGTCGGAGGTCGCCCACCGACTATGGTCCTTATGACCAAACGAGCACGTCAACAATTATTCTTCCTATTCCCACCGTGTAGTGCACTCCATATAATATATATTTGTTACATCAAGCCAAGCCCCCCCCCCCACCCCCCCCCCGCGGAAGGACCTCATCTGTAATCAACTACAAATACTAGTGGATCATTTTAAACTGGTCTAGGCCTCGTGGTTTTTTCCCCTTTTCGGGGGTTTTCATGTAAAATTTCTGGGGTCTCTTATGAATGTTGCAGCCTCTTTTTTTTTCTGATTGTGTGCTGGATCTTCGTACTAAGCTATATATATTTCTCTACTGCCACGAATATTCCACGACACAACAATTATATTGTAAATTTTTTTGAAAGTTTGATTAGTTTCCGATTTATCTGTTAATTAGAATAAATAATACACATGAGTATGATCATCTAGAACCGTGATGAACCAATGCTTGGAATTAAGGTTTGTGGATTCGGATGGCCCCAAATATCCCAAACGAGGAAAAATGTTTTGGTGATTTTATAAAGATAAGGTTTAAAAGTTGCTCTTTAGTGTGTAACAGACTAATATATTTTATGATGAAAAGTATCTTTATTATCAAGTAACAAATAAAGGAAGTTTCTAATATAAAAAAAAAATGGGATAACCTAACATTTTATGCTATATCATAATTTGATCCCCTATTTTAAGAGATAATAGATCTTTGTTGATAGTAACGGTATTATTATTTTATTTGGAACCCTCATCAAAATAGTAATAGACTTTTAACCTCGCCAATAGCTCCAATCGTATCACTGGTCTCTGGTCTTGAAATTCACAAAATTTTGTTGAAACGTGATTTTACAGTTGCTTTTTTTGCTATCTTGCTTGTCGATAAGAGATTGAAAGGGAGACTTGGCTCTTCTGAAATATAATTCTGGCAAAGCTTAGCATTAATTCTAATTGTTCAAATTCCCGAGAATCAGGGATAGAGATCGATCAACAATTTTACTTTTTGATTTCTAAATTGGGGAGTAAATGGTGAGAATTGGTGAGCACAATCTGGCATATGATCTGAAGCTTTGGAATCAATAATCTTGGATTCCTAGTCTCCTTAGCATAGAGGGAGAAAAAAAATCTTTTTGAGCTGATAGTCTTTTCAAGTGCGAGCAATTTGTATAATAAGTTTACTTGCTCTTCTGTTCCTGATTAAGTTGTGAATGTTTTCCCCTTTTCTCATCTTTAATTCTTCGTTTTTAGGGTGGCTTTATCTGATTTTCAGGTTGATTCGATTTTCTGGCTTTTCAATAATTTTCTTGTTTGATTGGCCTTTTTACAAACATCATCTTAAAAGATAATGATCTTTTAATGTTTTGAGCCATGTCCTAGATCTTGTTTCATACTTCTGATGACAAGGAATATTCTTCAATTGTCAGAGTATTCTTAATACCTCCAAGCATTATATCCATCTGCTTTTTCCCCTTGGAATTTTAACAAATAACAAATGCTTCGTTTTTAGGATGCGGACGAATTCTTAAAATTTCACTAAGAACTTTAAGATTTTCGTTGAGATCTGCATGGAAATCATAAGTTCTTATTTTTTCCCATAATTTTTTTGCCAATCATTTGGCTAGAAGTCATTCAGTTCTTGCAAATTTTTTGTTATTGTCTTGCAACGCTCATGTTGTTTGAGATCACGAGCATCATCTTGTAATTCACAATTGATTGGAAATTTCAAAGGTCAGAAGCATGCCAAATGACTTTCTCCCAACTTACTTGTGTGTGGTGTTCCAATTATATGGATCTATTATATTCTTTCATAAAATTGATTAGGGTGTGTTCATTCTTTCGACGGGGCGGCCTGATTCGTTCGGTAGATCCAGTTGAGGTGGACATTACCAAGCTATTATTGGTAACCCATCCAGGAAAGGAGAAGTCAACCATTTTAGGCTTACGGGTGCTACCCTTTAGTATCTATCTTTCCGCTTCCTTGGATTACCATTTGGATCGAACGAGATCATTGAAAGTATCTCTTCCCATTAGTTTGCAGAAAATAATTTGAAGAGGCGAGTGTTTTATAGAGACTTCCAAAATTATTGTGCAGCTTGGTAAGGTGGAGGAAGAAGCTATCATATCTCCTTCTTTGCTAGACCTGCTAGGGCCTTCTTGTAAACATAGATCATAGCTTAAAATGTAAACAAGACCTATCTTCTTAGTCTCAGGTGGCCTGCTAGCAATCCGGCCCCAGAATACTCCCAAATGCTGCAAAACCATAGGACCTTCAAGATATAAAATGTTTATTGCCTATTCTAGAAAAGAAATTACACATCTTTTAACTAAATCAATACTGAGGTTGATCTTCATCTACATTTTTCTACATGGCAAGGAAGTTCTTTAGGTTACTCTCAAAGAATTAGAAGGGATAGAAGCTCTGAGCAAAGATTTGTGTAAAATAGATTTAACATCTCATGTAAAACTCAACAAGAATGGATGGAGAATGAGGATTCACAAATCTGGCCCAAATATTTTGGGAAGGCTAATGATCGTGTTGATGATAATGATATGCTTATTTGTCAGTTGAGTTGAGTACTTTGAAAGTACTTACTAATGAATGGAGTCCCGTAATTTGATGATCGAAAAGCTGTTGAATAAATTGAAGGTTTTTTTTAATGGAATCTTTATATAGAATAAGACAAGATTTTTTTTGTTTTAAAAATATGCGATTATCAAGGCTTTTTAACAATGAATTTTATGTGTATTTTTAATGATTGATGCATAGCGAATATTTTATTGAATTTCATTAGATATAGTTTTTAGCTATGTTCAGGTCTCACTTTACAAACAGTGAATATTTTTGTTGACTTCCCAATCAGTATAACTGCATGTTAAGGACTATTGATAACGGATATCTTTGTTTTGATTGAACTCCATGCCCTAAATATTATGGATTATTTTGAACCGAACAGCTAGGGAAACTTAAAGATTCATATTTGATTAGGCAGCACCCTTATAAACCTGTTTACAAAGATCGTTTGAAATACCAACCTCGATTGTGGCTCGTGTGATTCCATAGAACTCTCACTGAGTGGGAGAAGGGAGAAACTTTTTGCACCTTAAGTCTTACCTTGGCATTTTCAATGAAGATGATGTAAAGCGGGTTAATAACGTAACAATTGCTTGGATAGGATTGATTTCTGTTGAGCCTACTTATCCATTCTTGATCATTTATGATTTCTTTGTTTTGATGTCATTGCACAGATGCTTGTCTAGCAGGTTCCTCTTGAGTGCAAGTAATTGAGATAATTCACGTCTATATCTGTGCTAAAACATTGCAACCCGTTAAATAATATTTCCAAATACTGCATCTTTATTTCTTCTTTTGCTCCCTTAGAGCATTGTCCCATTTAGTTTTTTTTTTCCTTAGGTATGTCTCATGTTCAATCACTATCCATGCAGCTTATAAAAGTTAGCCACGTATTGAATGGCTTGAGTGGGATGGATTACTGACCATAGGTCTTTCCAAATGAGCGAATAGATTTAGAGCCATGGTGTATCATCCAATTTCAAGCAAATTGACATCCTTTTTTTATTGTTTGAGAACTTTATCAAGAGTTCACCACTTATATATTGTATGTGCAAGAAAGAGAGCATGATTAGGTCCAAAATGGGCATTTAGATTAAGGTTTCGTTTGGGATGACTTTCTTACTGCTTCTTAAATCAGCTTTTTAGTTTAATTTTTGTAAAAAGCTCCTTTAAGAAGCAATAAGAAAGCCCGTCCCAAACGAAGCCTAAGTTGGAAGGTATTGGGACTCGTGTAGGCTTCAGTGTTATACACTACACTTTTTCCTTGGGACATGTGATGACCTAGAATTGCTAGTGCAAACTGCCTTGCGGCTTCGTGTCAAAGGGTTTTATGCAAGAGCATGCGTGTGTTTTCCAAAGATTGTTACATGTTATTTTTTATTGACAAGGTGAACTGAACTTATCCTTAGACATGATAAGCCTTTATTATGCTTTTAGTTTCAAATTGTTCCATAATACTGTCTTCTTTCTGTAAATTAAAACTTGAAACGTGCGGCCAGATAAATATTACTATTTGGCTAACTAGATTGGTATATCATGTGAGCAACTTGTTATGATGATTTGCTTATATTACAGAATAGTTTAGAATAGTGGCCAAAAACAACATATTATCCGTGAAAAATGTTGCAAGTATTTGTATATTTTTTTTCCTTGGATTGACATTTTTTGTGTTTATGATAAACTTTTTTTTTTCTATTAGTTTCATATTTTTGATGCTATTGTCTTCTATTTGTATATTGAAACTTGAAATTTTTTTTTTGAAAAACAAAAAAACATTTGTTGCAAGTATTTGTAGTGACGCATTTTTTTTTTCTGGTTCAATTCACTTTTTTTTTTTTCATTCAAAAAGTTCATACTTGTTTTGCTACTGATACATGCTTTTATCCATCTTGAATTATGCCATTTTTTCGAACAGAAAGAATAAGAAATCAAAAGGTCGCCGAGGCAATGCTCCAGATAAAACAAAGACTGATCTTCCGTTGAATAGGTTGGCAGTGTTAGCTAAATCTTAATTTTGTTTTTTTTTTTCAAATCATTGTGTCCATTCTGATGTATCTGTTTAACTTACCAGCAGCCCAGATTCTACCATCAAAACTGAATCAAATGATAAGACTCCCAAGCGTAAAGGGATGCCTTCTGTTAACGCACTTAGTGATGAGACCCCAAAGAAATCCAGCAAAGGAAGAGGAAGGTCTGGGAACAGACATTCAGACAAGACCCGCAAAGACAAGAATCAGTTATCTGAGACTGCAAACAAGTTAGACAATGAAAAACTAGCTCAAACTATTAAGCCCGACCCATCGAAATCTGCAGACAAGGTTGACAATGATAAATCCAAATCTGGGAGCAATGTTGGCACCGGTACTCCGAAGATTCGCAGAAAATCAAAGGTAGACTCCTCCAGATCCAGTGTGAAGTCCAAAATTGGTCCTAAGTCCAGAAAGAAATCAAGTGATGCCCATGATTCTGGAGTTAAATCTAAGGATGAAGACTCCCCCGCCCCCGCTAAGACTAAATCTTCTGCTGACTCCCCCGCCCCCGCTAAGACTAAATCTTCTGCTGAAGGCCGTCAAAAGCCTGGTGGGAGACCAGGGAAGGGCTCTAGCCGGAAAGCACCAGCTGGCTCAACAACACCCAGAACCAGCAGAAATTTGAATGCAAATGACACACCCAAGAGTGATCAACCAAAAGTTGAAGAGGCTGATACTAGAAGTACCACTGGGAAGAAGCGCAAGCGGGGAAAGCTTGGCAGGTAATCATGGCGGCAAAATTTGGGGTAATATGACCTTTGAATATTCATGGGGTTGAAAATATGCTTTTATCAGCTAATGAAGGGCTTGTTATATTATACTTGTCCTTTTTTTTTCACTTAAGATTTAGTTTAGAGATGCAAAGTTCTCCGTATGTGATGTTTGAACTTCAGTTTATTTTGTCCTATGGTCTGTGGGAAGTAGTAATATTACTATATTAGCGATTGCGTTGCCTATTTTCCAATGTTGTTTTAGAGTCCCATCAAGATATGAAGATCTAAAGTGTTGCTGATGTTCATTAAAGCTGATTTTTAATCTTTACTAACTTGAGTAGTTATGGTGTGGTCTTTATTATGATTTCGAACCTGAAATTTTAGCCTGAAGATGGAAGATTGATTGTTTAAAACTTGGACTGGGTTTTGAATTGGATTGAGCGTTTGATTGAAATCAGTGAGCTAACATGATTTGGATCTGGCTTACATTGAGCTTGGATTTCATCGAGTTGGGTTGAATCGAGTTCGTTCTTGTGTGAATTTAAAGCATGACATTTGTTAGATTTTGAATTTGCCAGTATTATCTTTGACTGTATGGAACATATTATTTGAGTTAGAGCTCATTGGTTCTCAGGCTTTGTTTGAGATGGTTTTTTGGTTGCTTCTTAAATCAATTTTGTAGTAAAAAATTAAAATTTTATATTAGAAAGTTGATTTAAAAATAAAAAAAAAGTCTTCTAAAACGAAGCTTCAGTAGGTTGCAAAGATTCTTGCAGCCTTTTGTTGCCTGTAATCAACCGTATGGTTATGCATATATGTTTATGCTTAATTTTTGTGTTAGAAAATTGCTTTAAGAAGCAATAAGAAAGTCATCTCAAATGAAGCCCAAGTCAAAGTTTATGTTAGATTTATGATACTTCCTTGTAGAATGCTTTGACGTGTCAATATTTCTTGGTTCATCAAGTTGAAGCAATGAATTTTGTCAATTATCCTTTGGGTAGCTACCGATGTTGTAAAATTTTCTAAATTTAATCATGTGAAAAATCCTGCAAGGTCAGAGGGGCGTTCAAATGTTTGAAGAGGTTCAATGACTTGGTATTTGAGCGTACAGACTGACTTGTAAGCAAATTTAGGTTATATTACAAGGAGTTACTCAGAAGACTTCACTACAATCTCATTTTCTGGCATGAAGCACCACATCATCACTTGAATTGTAGCCATTTTATGACTTGTGATGCATCATAATCTCTTTGTTATAATAAATATGGTTGTAAGAAGACTAACACTAAACACTATTTTCTTGCTTGCATCACAATCATCATAGTAGTTATATTTGCATGGTGGATGTATCAAACATGACCATTTTTATAACCTGTGTTCCATACTTTCAAAAAGAGAGCCTTTATGACGAGCCGTTATTACGTCCTCCGACCGGATGCAGAGGAACATCCGGTCCGAGGCAAAAAAAAACGCCTGTACCGAGGTGTACCGAGTTTTTGAAAAAACTCGGTACACCTCGGTACAGGCGTTTTTTTGCCTCGGACCGGATGTTTCTTGCATCCGGTCAACCGAACCAAATAAAAGCGCCTTTATGACAGCCTCATTAATGTCACAGGTTTCGTTTGGGACGGTTTTCTTACTGCTTAAAGCAGTTTTTATAGTATAAATATTATGAGTAGTTTCTATCAAGCCAATGGGATTTTTCCAAGTTCAAAGGAGACCATATCTTTTAGGAAATCCTTTTGAGTAGTTACCATTAATGTGAGATGATTTTCTAAAATTGAAGGAGCTTGGATGCTTTGAAAAGTCCTATGAGTAGTTGCGATGGCCTTAAATATTTTTTTCAAGGCCTATTTCATTGTCATTTCTTATAAAATATGCATTGACTGAGTACACAAATATCACCCACAGTCCCACACACAGATAAAATAAAAATTCGTAATAGACATTAGAGATTTTATATACAAGGGTTGAAAACAAAAAAATCACGAATTTTGACCCGGATGAATAATATTCTATTTAATTAGAGATTTTAAATATCCACTTTTCCTCTCAATTAAAGAAGATGAAAATTTTACAATAATAGCTTGATTTATTGTGATTATAGTTAATATTGTTAGATAAATGGTGAATGGTGATGACGACGATCGACGAACAAGCAATCATAGTTGAACGATGATATAAAAACTATGACGATTGGGCAATGGTGGTTAGACTATAGCGATCAAATAATGATGAACATGCAACAGAGGCCGAGTGATGGTTGTTGAATGACTAGTGATGAAAATTAGATGATGATGATTGTTGGTAGTGATTTTCGACATCATGTAGAGCTTGAACTTTAGAATCTCCAAGCTCTTTTCAATTTTAAGCCTAAGGCTTCATTTGGGATGATTTTTTTTATTGCTTTTTAAAGCTATATTAGTGAAAGTATATTTTTAAAGCTATTGAAGAAAGTAGCTTCCTAGTACAAGTTTTTTTTGAAAGTAAGAAAAAATTAGTAATTAAATAGAAATTATGGTTGCGGTCTATAAAGCATAAGTAAGAAAGTTGTCTCAAACGAAGTCTAAGTCCCATTGTATGTGATGGGAACTGGTGGAGCTTATCTATGCAATGCTTAAGAGTTTGCTTGCTATTGTGACTTTATATTCTATATACTCCCAAATAATGCAAGTGCACATGCCCTTCAAGCAATAAAGTGTATGAGAGAGTATCGATCCCATAAGAAAAATAGTATGCAATAACTAACTCTAATACTGTCTACTCTAGATATAGATTTATCATATGCAATAAAAAAGGTAGATGCTATAACTACTAAGAAATGCAGAAAATAGTAAAGATACAAAGAATTAAATTTGTTCTGGACTTATGAAAGTGAATGAACCTATATTTTTCTAAGAAGCCTTGTCTATAATAGTTGTGGATAGGAGTATATGAACCATTAGATCTCTATCGAGCTTGTAAGGGTATAAAGAAAGTTTTATAGAGTATCTACAATGATACTGATACTGTATCCATAGAACCTAGATCCTACTCATCCTATGTCTAGGTATGAAAGCATTCCATCTCACTTCTCTTAATTATTCCAACATTCTTTCGTCGAGGTAATGTATCACACTATATTTTAACTCCATACATGATCATTGCATAAATTAAATAAAGCATGAGAGAAATTGAGAAGAACCATTCATATTTAAGTACAAGAGTCTACATTAGGATACACACATATTATTCACATCATCAACTTAAAACAAGGAGTTTTAGCTAATCATAGCCATAAATTGGACCAAAACACTTTTTGTTTCTTGCTTAAAAATCGTACAAACAAAAAAGATGAAGCAAATATCACCTGGATTGAAAAATCCCAAACAAACCCAATAGATAGACTCTTCCCGGAGTGAATGTCAATGTCCCCTTACACCTTCACTCTCCACACTACTTTCCACCGTTAAGTGTTATTTTTCTCACTACAAGGATGACCAACCACTCCACTAGACACAACTCACTATCCCCTGGTGTCTCTTACAAAAGAAAACATAAAAAATATTTATGTTTTTTTATATAAACTGACTAAAGCATTGCGTCGCTTGACAGGGTAACGTCGTGGCGTTAAAATATGAGCTAGCACATCAGCACTGATTGATTGTCTTCGATGCAGCATTGGGTTGACCTGACACAATTGTTGGCTAACCCGGTGACAGCTTGGCTGATTCGGCGCTGCGCTTCCTTTCATAATTTTTTTTGTTGCGACACTACATAAAGTTGGGTACTGTGGCACTTGGTTCATCATCTAGTGTTACGACTCTCTAGAGGTTGGCCCTTTGGCGTTGAATTATTTGTAAATTTGACAAAGTGCATAGCGATATTGTGTTTCTTTAATGGCGCCGAGGTGTAATAACTCAAATATTTGAAATAAATTTATTTGAAAATATAAAAATTCTTAAGTAGGCTCTTTGGCGCTGATTTTATTAGCATTGTGTGCTGTGAAGTTAGTTGATGAACATTATATATATTTCTACCTCATCCCAATGACTCTCTCACTTGATTGCTTAGGCAGAAAAAAAATGAAAGAGGAGAAAAAGAGAGAGGATATAGAAAGATCTTTAAATCATACTCTTGTCTTCAATAATTTTGATTTTTATGAATTTTATCTATCATAAATCTGCAAAAAATATATTATATTCTAATTTCATAAACTTACATCGTACAAGTTTGAATATATTATAGATTTGATCATTCTAAATGATTTGTTATAATTTTATTATATTTTAAATGAATTACAAAATGATATCATATATATGATATGATAACTCCTCCTGATTCATTAATTGGGAGTTATAAGGAGCTAGCGATTGATTGAGAGTCATAAGGAGTCGAGGGACTGGTTCACGTGATTCAAGGGAAGTTATAAGGAGTATATTGATTAAGTTATAAGTGCAATTGATTGTGAGTCATAAATGTAGGAGTAAGATACCCTTAAGATACACTCATTAAATATCTAAATTTTGATACAGATAGTGCTACGAATATTGTACTGTTATTATCACTGAGATTAATATTATTTATTTTCATTAACACTATTTAACATTATTTATCATGATACTAATGTTATTACTAGCATTAATACTTTTGACTATTACTAATATTGTGATTGATGTTGTAATGAATTGAGATATGATGAATTATAGAAGGATAAATTGAGACAGATAATTAATATAAATATTGATGCATATATATATATATTTATATGATTTATAACATATTATTCTCTTTTATCCTGTATTGATTTTAGTTGTAAGATGTTAATTACTTGTTGGGATATGGGCTAATTATATAGTTTTACATATTATTTCTTTCCAATGTTCATTCGTAAGCTTTAGTTAAATAGTTAAATTGAAAGATAAATGTAATTCTTTGAATATAGATCTAGGAGTGTAACAAAATGATATCATAGTAATATTTATTGAAAGAATTAAAATATAACTAGAGCTTATGAGTGGAATAGAAATATGATTTTTTATTTATAATTAATTGATTTGAGTTTGAAATTTTATTTTGAGCATGCTCTCTCTCTCTCTCTCTCTCTCTCTCTAATTTTATTTTGAGCATGCTCTCTCTCTCTCTCTCTCTCGGATTGATATATAAATATCGATGATTACATTTTTTAAAGGTGGAGAGATTATAATAACTCAAATATTTGAAATAAATTTATTTAAAATAAATAAAAATTCTGAAGTAGAACGCTTTGGTAAGTGTTGCGACGCTAGCTGATGATGTATATATATCACTGACTCCCTCACTTAGTTGCCAGGCTAGGAAGAAATTGAAAGAA